GCGACATCCTGCAGGATTAAGAAGGTGAGAAAGGACACTTGGGGTAAGCGGCGCAGAGAGCTCACGCGCGAGAGTGGGCATGCCCGTGGCGGCGCCCGCCCAGCGTTTCGGCCGCCGGCCGCGCGCTCGGCGGCCACGCGCTCGACGGACGCGAAGACCAAGCGCGCGGCGGAGGCACGCGCGGCGGAGGCCAAGCGCGCGGCGGAGGTTAATCGCATGGCGGAGGTGCGCGCGAGGAGGCCAAACGCGCAGTGGAGGCGAGCGTGACGGAGGCCGAGTGCGCGGCGGAGTCTTAGGCCAGGCTAGGGTGAGGTTAAGGTTGGGGTTGAAGCTTTGGCTGAGCCTCTCACCTCCCCCATGGCCATTGGATTGCAAGACGACGAACGTCAAAAGTCTTTGGATCCCAACCATTTGTCGTTATGAATACAGCCGCGGCGCCCGTCGCGCGTCTCAAACGCCGTTAGCATTGAGCCCCCCCCGCGTTTGCGCGTGGTCTCTCAAGTGGGTGGGCGAGTACCAAGAACCGAACTTCCATGAGCAACGCCTGGGGCACCATTTCCAGACGGGATGGTGGCGGCGCGCGAAGCGCGAAAGGTATGGAAAACAGATCCGGCTGCGAAGGATCTCAAACATGTTGAAGAGCCAGGGTAAAATTCGGAATCCGACCGCGGAGTGCACCAAGAAGAACAGTCGACAACAAACAACTGCCGACGACCCAAAAAAGTTTGATGTTTTCTTTGTTACAGCAGGCCGGCGACAAATACAAACGACAACAAAAAATGCCAACAAAAAGCGGCTGACGAAAAAAAACACTTGCGACGCAGAGCCGCGACCAAACCCATAGTGGTGATGCCAAAATGATTTTGAAAGGCGTGCAACCAAAATTGCGGAAGCGCCGTCGCACTGAAAATTAATTGAAAATTGTAGACCACGGCGCAAAATTAGTCACGTGGCTTGGTCCGGCGATTCGTCGTCGCGCGTTCCGCGCGCCCGAAAGATTTGCGCCTGCACAGGGATTCCCCGCGCGCACTGATTCATTCGCGCGCGCGTGGCGCGCGGCGGGAGTAGCACGCGCTGGAGATGCGCGCGCGCCGATCCCATCGCGTGTGCCTGCGCTGCGGGCGAAGCGCGAGGTGCGTGCGCGCGCCGGGCAGTCGCGCGCGCTCGCGTCACCCCCCTCGCGCGCGCCAGCCGCGCGAGACGCGCCCGGCGCTCGCCGCTCACGCGCGCGGGTGAGACGATGCGCGCTACAAAGTAGGGACTCACCAAGTACAGCGCACTTTTCGTCCGCGTCGCACGCGGCGCGAGACCAGCGTCAACGCGAGAGCCATGGCTCGGGGCGGGCGGCAGGGTCAGAGCTGAATTCGCAAATCGCTCAACACAGGTCGGTACGTTTCAGATGAAAATGCTGAACGTAAGTTCGATGTTTTTTGGTCAGACGGCTTGTCTGTGGACCTTGTCCTGGAAGTACGGAGGAGGCGAAGTCTCAGGCTAAGGCTGCGGCTGGGGCTGGGCTGAGGCTATGGCCGAGGCTCGGGTTTAGGCTACGCTTAGACTTCGGTTGAGGCTGAGGCTCAGGTAAGGCTGAAGCCAGGCGTAGGCCCGCGGCGTAGGCTGAGGCTCAGTCTAGGTTGAGGCTCAGGCTCAGGCGCAGGCTATGCTGAGGCTTTGGCTTAGGGGTTTAAGCCCAGCTGAGTGTCGGACGTGGCTGGGATCAGGCCTAGGCTGAGGCTGAGGCCAGGCGGGGGCTCAGGCAGAGGCATAGGCTCGGGCTCGGGCTGAGGCCTCCGCTAGGCAGGGGATTAGGCCAGGCTATGTGTAGGCTGATTCTTAGGTTTGGCTGGGGCTGATACCGAGGCTTACGCCGAGGCCAAGCTCAGAGCGGAATCTGCGCGCTTTCACGCGACCCCGGCTGGCCGAAAGTTCAGGCCAGGTTTCGACTGAGGCTTCGGCTGAGCTGCGGCTGAGGCTTCGGCTAGGCTAGGATGAGGCCGAGGCCGGGCTTCGGCTAGGCTGAGGCTGAGGCGTAGGCCTAGGCTACGCTCAAGATGAAGCTGAGGGCTTTGGCTGTGGCCTCGGCTAAGGCTTCGGCGAGGTTTAGGCTTGGGCTCAGGCTTTTGCTTGGGCTGATCCTGAGGCCAGGCTTAGGCGGAGGCTTGGGCCAGGTGGGGCTGAGGCTTAGGGTTTGATTGGGCTGAGGCTTTGGCTGAGGCCAAGGCTGAAGTGGCGGTGGAGGCTGAGGCTGGGCGTCGGCCATGCCGAGGCTTAGGTTCAGGGACAGGCATCGGCTGAGGCTGAGGCTAGGCTAAGCAAGGCTTCGGCTAAGCTGAAGCTGAGACTCGGGAAAGGCCGAGGCTCAGACTGAGGCATAGGCTGAGGCTTCGGCTGAAGCTGACGCCTAGGCTCGGATCGGGCTGATGCTTAGGCGGATGCTTCGGCCAGGCTAGGACGAAGTTTATGCCGAGGCTCAGGCTAGGCTGAGGCCCAGGCGGAGGCGGAGGCGGAGGCTCGGCCGAGGTCTAAGCTTAGGCCGATGCTGAGGCTGAGGCCGAGGCTCAGCTCAGGCGCAGGCGCAGGCCGAGGCTTGGGCAGGGCGAGGCTGAGGCTCGGCCCGATGCCTAAGCTTGGCAGAGGCGCAGGCGAGGCCGGGCTAGGTAAGGCTCGGGCTAGGCTCAGGCTGAGGCACAGGCAAAGCCTCAGGCTTGGGCCTGGCTTATGATTCGGCCAGGCTGAGGCTATTCTTAGGCAGACGTTAGGCTTAGGCGGAGGTTTACGCTTGGCTGCAACTTAGGCTTCGGCCGAGGTTTTTGCTGAGGCTTGGGCCGGGCCGGGCAGAGATGTGGGTTGGGGCTTCGGCTGGGCTGGGGCTGTGGCGAAGGCCGAGGGCCAGGCTAAATTTTGGCCAGGTTGCGGCCGAGCCTTAGGATAAGCTGGGCTGCGACTTAGGCTAGGACGAGGCTCGGGCTAGGCCAAGGCTGAGGGTGAAGCTCAGGCTCGGCGAGGCTGACGCTGATTGTCATGTCTGAGGCTGGGCGTTATGCTCGGCGAGGCTGAGGCCGAGGCGTCGATTGGGCCTGAGGCGTGGGCCAGCCTGAGGCTGGGCAAGGCTGCGGCTTCAGCCAGGCGCCGGCCCAGCCGAGGTCAGGTTCGGCTAGATTTGGGTGGGTCCTAGGCCAGGCCACGCTTAGGTTACAGTGAGCCTAGGCTGAGGCTCAAGCCAGGGGCTAGCTAGGTTGAGGCTGAGGCTTTGGCTCGATTCAGGCCGAGGTTTAGGCTGGGGCGCAGGCTAGGCTGAGGCTAGATTTCGGCGAGGCCTAGGCTGGGGCAGGCTGAGGCTGAGGCCAGGCTCGGCTTGGGCTCAAGCTAGGCCAGGCCTCTCCCCCGCGGCGCGCGCCGCGTCGCCCGCGGGGCGGGGTGCCCTTGTGGGCGCGGAGCAGGCGAGGGCCATTGGCACGCCTGTGCTTTCGCGGCCCGCACCGCGCCGCCCGCGGGCACAGCGCAGGCGGGGGCCACATTGCGCGCCCTCGCCCCCGCGGCGAGCGCCACGTCGCCCGCGGGGCGGGGCGGCCCCCGATAGCCCTCGGGCGCGCCGCCGCTGCCCTCTGTCGCTTTCTTCCTTCGCGGGCGAGAGTTGCCTTGGGGGCGCGAGCGAGGCGGAGTTCCCTCGGCCGTCCTTCGGCGCGTCGCATCCGCCCTCGCCCGCCGTTCAATTTGCAGGCGGTCGCGGCCCCCAGGACGTTGGCCAAGCGGGGCTTCCTCGGCCGCCCCTGGGCGCACCGCCGTTGCCCTCGGTTGTTTTCTTTACTCTCCCCTGGCCGTCCTTCGGCTCGTCGCCCCCTCCCTCGCCCGCGCGCAATTTGCTGTCGGGCGTGGCCTTGCGGACGCCGGCTAAACAAGGGCCCCTTCGGCCGCCCTCGGGCGCGCCGCCGCTGCCTCAGGTCGCTTCCTTCCTTCGCTGGCGGGCGTTGCCTTGAGGGCACGGGTCAGGCAGGGTGCCCTTGGCCGTCCTTCGGCGCGTCGCCCTCGCCCTCGCCCGCTGCTCGATTTGCGGGCGGGCTTAGCCCTTGGGCCTTGGGATGTTGAACGAGCAGGGCCCCCTTGGCCGCCCCTGGGAGCGCCGCCGCTGCCCTCTGTCGTTTCCCCCTTCGCGGGAAGACTTTGCCTGAAGGACGCTGGCAAGGCAGGGTTCCCTTGGCCGTCCTTGGGCACGCCGCCCCCGCCTTCGGCCGTCGCTTCGCACGCGGCCTTCAGGGCGCGGAGCAGAGTGGCTCCTGACGCGCCCTTGCGCCCGCAGCCTGCGCCGCGTTGCCCCCCCCATGCGGGCGCCCTTAGATTGTGACGCCATGCCCACAGGGGCGCGCGGATAGAGAGGTTACCTTTGCGTCCGTGCGCTGTTTTTGCGTTGGGCCCCGGCGCCAATTCGGCAAGGACGGGGGCAGGTCAGGGTACCATTGCGTCCCTGGGGTCATGGTCGCCCGCCGTTTAACCAAAAAAACTTAAATTCTGCCTCCACGGGTCTTGCGTTTCTGCAGCCCGTTCTGTTTACACGTTTTCCCTGTGCACCGACATGTGGCGAAAGTCGTTCTATTGCGACATGGGTTGGCCTTCCTTCCTCCCTCCGTTCGGTTCTGCTGGCGTCGTTCCAGCCCAGGCCTTTCGGCCGCCCCCAAGAGAGAATGAGCGGCATAAACAGAACATCTCGGAGCATCACGCGGATTCATCGGGTCAGCGCTGGGCCCCTTCCCTTCTGGCGGCGCCTCGCTCCGCGCGCCAGGGGAGGTGGGTCCAGCGGTGATCCAAGAAATCAGCGCGGATATCTGAAGTCTTATGTTGTCCATGTCTCCGTGTGTTTCTCTAGAGAGGTCCGCGCAGAGAAAAGCGGGAGGAGAAAGTGGGGAAGGAGGAGGAAAAGCGGGAGGAAAAGGAGGATGAGGAGGAGACGAAAATCAAGGAGATGGAGGAGGGTGAAAAGAGAGACCTCGGCAGGAGCCCGTGCCGCGATGCCCCTCGCATTCATCACGGTCAAGACGCCCGACGGGTCGCTGGTGCACCTGGACGTGGACTTGCGGACACAGGCGAGCAGGACGGGCAGACTCAACTTTCAAAGGCAACGTTGGGGGGGGGGGGGTTAGGCTCAGATGGCGTTTTCTGTTGGTTTCAATCGTTTTCGAGCTTTCTCGTCGGTGTTCGAAGTTTTCTTACGTTTTCGTCGACTCTCTGCTGTTTTCTAGCCCCGGGGTGCTCTCCAGCAGCTGCGCCTCGCCGAGAGCGTTCAAGGGGGTGCCTGGACCGTCCCGAGCGGCCGCCGGAGGTTCGAATCATGACCCGCAAGCTGCTGGGGACGAGGATAGGCCCACCGGGGGGGGGACGCATCGACCCCCAATCGCCCATTCATCGCCGATGGGAGCCCAGCTGCCCGCCCCGCCCAGGAACGTGCGGGTTCGCTATCGGGGGCCTGTCGCCGATCGCCGACCTATCGGCGACGTGTCGCCGATGCGAGCTCCATGCTTTCCCCCCTGTGAGCTGGTCGCCCCCATTGCGCTCCCCCATCAAGCCCGCGGCGCGCGGGCAGGCGGCCATTCCCCCCGGTCCCCTAAGACGTGAACGTTGCAATCCCGGCGGTCTCCCCACTTTCAGCATCCAGGGGGTGGCTTTCGGGCCCCAAGACCATCAAAAGCGGGGGGGTCTCGGGACTTCCTGGTCCGCGGAATGGGGCGCTGAGGCGAGAGCCGGATTTTGAAAGAGACCAGCCCTCCACCTTTGTCATTGTTGAGAAGGTTGCAAGCGAATGTGCATGGCGCAAAGGCGAGATCTGTATTTGAAAACGATTTGCTCTCCATATTTGTAGTGTCGGAAACTTGAAACACGAATATGGGCGGCGCAAATGCGAGGGCCAGAGTTCGACAACGAGAATTGCCGACTATAAGGGTAGGGTCTAGGGCACTTTTTTATGGAGTGTTGAGATGCTGTTTTTTCGCGACGTCGAATCTGGAAGGAAGGAGGTGAAAGAGGAGGAGGAGGAGGAGGAGGAGGAGGAGGAGGAGGAGGAGGAGGCGGACGACAACGACGACGACGACGAGGACGACGAGGACGAGGACGAGGACGAGGACATGGAGGAGGAGGAATAGGAGGAGAAGGAGAAGCAGGAGGAGGACGAGGACATGGACGAGTGGGAGGAGGAGGAGAAGGATAAACAGGAAAAAGGGGATGAGGAGGATGAGGAGGAGGCGGAGAAGAAGGAGGAGGGGAAGACGGAGGTGGAGTGGCAACTTGGGGGGAGGGAAGGCAGACGGACCACATCGCTTCAAGTTGGGGAAGGGGCAAAACGTCGTCCTCCCCTTGCTCGAACGGGCCGCCGACTATTCGACTCGATGCGGCTCGATTCGCCGGTTGGGGATGCGATTCCGATTCGATTCGATTCGATTCGGTCCGCTTCACTGGCATCGGTTTCGGCCAGCTGGAGCCGTGCGCGGCGATTTGATTTCGATTCGATTCGGGACGATTCGTTGGCGATCCGAACCGTTTCTGATCCGACCCGATTTCGCGATTCGATCCAATTCAGGCCCAGAGAAAAATCGGTGAGTCTTGTTGGGGCGGTTGGGGGCCATCTCTGCGCCCTGCGCGGCTCTTGGGGCCAGGGTGAATTACATTACGGTCGGGAGCTTTGGCTTTGCGTGTCGCGCCGCCAGTTGTGGCCCACCACGCTGCGGCGCGACACGCTAACCATCTCCCAATTCCCGAGCGTCTACGTCCCGAGCTTCTCCCAGCCTCCCGCCCCGTGGAGCGGAGCGACACGCCATCCGCTCGCAGGGCGCAGCGTGTCGCTGGGGGCGACACGCTAAGCAAAAGCTCCCAAGCGTGTACCCCCTCTCGCAGGGGGTGGCAGGCCGACCTCCAGGTCGCCCCCCCCCCGGGTCTCCCACCTGGAGCGCGTCCCAGGCCCGGATCTCCGGTCGGAAATCCGTTGCCGCGGCGAGACGAAGAACCCGCCTGGAGGCTACAACGAAGAGACCAAAAGCGCTCAAAGTTTGGAGTTCGTCGTCGCCGTCGCCGTCTTGCTGGTGGTCGTCGTTGTCGTCGTCGCCGTGGTCGTCGTCGTCACCAGCGTTGTCGTCGTCGTCGCGCAGCCAGGGCGCTGAAGTAAGGAACAGCTCGGGCTCGGAGGGGGCTCGCTGCTCCGTGGGTCCTCTCCACGGGTGCTCCTCAAGCACTCTCCGTGCGCCCACGCGTGTTTTGCACAAGACGAGCTTGGTTCCGTGTTCCCAGACGTACTGCGGTATGCTTTTTCGAATGCGCAGCCCTACAGATCCCGACCCCTTCTCCGGTGGCAGTTCTTCGACCGGGGTATATTTGTGATTGTCCCGGGGCCCGATAATGGCCCAAATCAGAGACAACACATCCGCTTGATAAGACCAGATGGTTGGAGATGTGGGTTTTGCGCTCATCATGGTAGTAGCATCGAGGTTCGAGGGACGAGCATCGAGGCTTTCCGTCTTCGCCGTCGTTGTCCTCTTGCAGGTCGATGAGTTCCGCTCCATCCTCGCGCCCAAGTGCGGCGTGCAGAGGCACAGGCAGCGGTTGGTGTTCGCTGGCCGGTTGCTCCAGGACGGGCGGAGGAAGAGGGGGAGGAGGAGGGGTTGAGGAGGGGAGGACCAGTGTAAACCCAGGACTCGTCAACGATGCTGGAATTATAAACCCTCCCTCCAAGCTCCCTTTTCACAGGCCCGTGCAAGGATTCATTTCCACTGCGGAAAGGGCCCCGTTGGAAGACGATCCTGAAGCGTGCCGAAACACAGTTTTCACGACCTCAACGCCACGAGTCAACCTGACTGTTGCGTCGCGACGAGTCTGAATTGTGCCAGAACACCATTGATGGGACTTCAACTCCGCGAGTCAACGTAATTGATGCGTCCTGACAATCCTGAATATCCTGAATAGTTCTTAAACACCATTTCTGGTACGCTTACCATGGGGATCTGTCAAATTCCCGCAAATGTTTAAGACGAGTGTACACGGCGCTGAGGCGAGAGCCACATGTTCAAAACCACTTGCACTCAATCCTTGAAACTCCGTCACATGTTTAGTTTTTGCTCGGCGCTAAGGCAAGAGCCACATCCTGGAAGCAACCGCCATCCATCTGTGAAGCGGTTGCAAAGTTGCAAGCTTCACGAACATGAATGGTGAGGAACTCGTAGGCGGAATGCCTGGCCCGCCCTTCCGGTTCATGAGGAGACGGAATGGAGGAAGGGAGGGGGAGGGGGAGGAGGAAGGGAGGAGGAGGAGGAGGAGGAGGAGGAGGAGGAGGAGGAGGAGGAGGAGTGGGGAAAGGACAGCTTAGTTATCCCATTGTTTTTTCCCTCGGGGCCCTGGCATCGGAGCTGGACCTGCCCGCGTGCATGTTGTTCCCAGGAGGATGCGGGAGGACGAGGGTGCGGATGTTGAGGTGGAGCAGGAGGGCGGAGGAGGAAGAGGAGAAGGCAGAGCATGAGGCGGAGGAGGAGGAGGAGGGAGGGGCTGGTGATGATGATGATGATGATGATGATGATGATCATGATGATGATGATGATCATGATGATGATGATGATGATGATGATGATGATGATGATGATGATGATGATGATGATGATGATGATGATGATGATGATGATGATCGTCTTTTCTATTGAAGTTGACTGCCTTCAGAGGGTGGGAGAGAGGCCGAAGCTTGCTTTCCGTAGCCTTCGGCTCTCGAGCTTTTATGGCTTGGTTGGGCCTCCCGGAGGGCTTGCTCAGGTTGCTGGATCGCTGGGGCGCTCCCGCGCTGCAGGCTTGGGTGGCTCGCTGCCCGCCATCGACGTGCCGCCGTGCCCCGCGTGCCCGCCGTGCCCTGGGGCTATCGTGGGCGCGACCGCAGGCGGATCACGTTGGCCTGCCTGGCGGCGGGCGTGGCCGGGGCCTCCATCGGCGCGCTGGCCGCCATCGGGGTGCTGCGGGTCTGGGGCCCAGTGCGCTTCTCGGCGGAGGCTCGGGGCCCGGTGACGTCCACTGGGGCGCGGCTGGCGGAGGCGCCGAGCGGTTCGCACGCACGCACGGCTCTGGCAGCGGCTGGCGATGGCGGAAGCGTGAGCGTGGGTGCTGTACAACGTGGGCGGCGTGCCGCTCTTCCACCAGAGGAGGGTAGCGGGCCAATTGGCACTCACAGATGATGTCATCATCGTGACGCACGATGACATGGTCTACCCCGAGAGGCTGGTGGCGGCAGGGCCCGACATAGCAGCGGTGCGCTTCTCGGCGGCACGCTGGCCTCCTCCGCCTGGGACCGCGGCCGACGCCACGTACCGCTTCGGGCGCGCCCCATGAGCCGCCCGCGAGGCCGCGTGGCTCGCCGCCGCCACCGCCAAGGCGGACGCCGAGTTCGCCCGCCGCCGCCCTGGGGTGCCCGCTCCGCCTGGCGGCGAGCTCATCCCCACAAGCGGCGGGTTGCTGCCTGGTGCGGGGCCCCCAGCTGCAGGCGGGCCGCTGGTGGGGGCTGCCGCTCGTCCGGATGCTGCTGGTGTTGCGCTGGCCGCCGTGGGACCCGTCGGCCCAGCCGCGGGCGCCGCCGCGGGGCCGCCGCCCCTCGCCGCGCTGCCGCCCGCCGCGTTGGCTGCCCCCGCGGCTGGCGTGCCGGCGTGCCGATGGCCGCAGGTGCCCCGCCCGCCGTCGGAGCTCCTCCTGGCCCTGGCTGGAAAGGGAACAGCGGCCCCCCGCTTGTGGCGAACGGCGAGGCGCCGCCCGACTGGGCCTGGCTGGGTGCTCGCGGAGGACGTCGACTCGCTGCCCTTCGGCTCGATCGTGCAGGCGGGGCCGATCACGGGCATCGCGTTGGCGGCGCGGGCTGGCAGGCGGGCAGTCGTCACGCTCGCGGGAGGCATCTCGGCCGTGGCCTTCATCCTGGAGGACTGGCGCCGGGGAGACTTCTCCGCGAAGTGGCATGGGTCTGGCGGCGCCTGGACTCTGGCTCGCGCCCCCGGCAGTGGTGTTCCGCGCAGCTGGCTCTCAGTGACCGAGTTCGCCCGAGAGGTGCCCGACCCCCAGTTCGCGCTCATGCCGGCGTCCAGCTGCCTGGCGCGCGGCCCGGCTGCTTCGCGAGGAGAGTTGGAGGACGCGCAAACGGCTCAGTACTTCAGACTACGGGGGGTCCGCGCATCACACCCTCAGCATCGCGCTCGAGGATCTGGCGACGATCGACGAGGTCAACGTGGCGAACCTCGTCGGAGCGGAACGCTCGGTGCAGCAGATGCAGCTGATCGAGCATTTCTTGGAGGAGAGGCAGAGGGGGCAGGACTCGGCCCAGCAGAGGCTGCCGCAGGAGGAGATCAGCGCCTTCATGGGCGCTTCCAGCCGCCCGAGCAGCATGGTCTGCCCCGCCCTGCTGGACGCAGTTGGGAAGGAGCTCGAGCGCGCCAGCCAGCTCAAGAAGAACGCCCGCGAGCTGCGGGAGGAAGCGAAGGCTGCCCCAGGGGCCAAGGCCGGAGGAGGGAAGTCATGATGTCATTATGTTTGGGGGGCCCTCCTGGCCCATCCCCCGCCAGCGCCACGGGAGCTGGGCCTTCTTCGGCGGCCGCCTGCGACGTCGAGATGCGCGTGGCAGGCGCGGCGGCGTGGGCGCGGAGCGGTAGCGGGACCTCTTCCCGCTGCCCGTGCCCGCTGTTGCTGACCCCGGCGGGCTGGCTAGTGGGAGCTCGCGCGGCACGAGGAGGCGCGCGCTGCGGGCGGCCGGCGGGGCGCTGCCGGTCGGAGAGGGGGTGCGAAGTATATCCGAGAAGTTGGACAGCGCACTCTATCACGGCAGCGGCTTGATGCCAACTGACCGACGAGAGCTGAGGACCCACGGGCACCCTCGTGGAGGGCGTCTGGGGCAGGGCCACGGCAACAGGGCGGCGGGGAGAAAGAGAGAGAGAGAGAGAGAGAGAGAGAGAGAGAGAGAGAGAGAGAGAGAGAGAGAGAGAAAGAGAGAGAGAGAGAAAGAGAGAGAGAGAGAGAGAGAGAGAGAGAGAGAGAGGCAGGACACCAAAGTGCGGGGGGGGGGGGGGGGCGCCCAACCAGGGCCCTGCAACCTGGCTGTTGAGGAAGAAGTCGAGGGGCGACTTCGTCTTCTTGGCCCCATACGCGGCGGCAGTGGGTGGCGCAACCTGCATGGTAGCGCGGGCGAGGGAGTCCGTGTCCTGCTGGAGTCGCCGCCGCTGCAGATTGAAATCTCCTGCGACAATGAGCGGCTTAGAAACTGGGTCTTGGATTTGGCCAAGTGCGGATGCAATGTTTAAACTGTTCTCGCAGAGACCCGAGGAGGCTTGGAAGCAAGCGCTCACCAGACCAAATGTTTGGACCCCCCGGGCCCAAGCCGCCCCGAACGAGCACCGCCACCCCCCGAGACTAACTCACCTAAGGGGTTTCTGGCGGCGGGGGCAATGTGGGCGAGCCAACCTCGTGCGAAGCACCATTGAATCTGACAAGCAATGCGGCCACCTGCTTCTAATCTGCGCTCCTCAGCGCAGACAAGCTTGAAACTCTCAGCACTATCTGACTCAATGAAGGCTTTCACTGCACCCCAGCACGATCCACTGATCGTGGCGATGGTGCGTGGATTGCCTGGGCGACGACGGCGACGATGTAGCCTCTGCCTCGACTGCTGCTGCTGCCGCCGCCGCGGCCCTGGCCCGCTCGACGTCGGGCCCGCCCTTGCCCCAGATTGTGGCCATGCCCTCTGCGACTGCCTCCAGGTCGGCCGCCGCGCGCACCAGGGAACGGGGCTCGTCCGCGCCGTGGTCGCTGTAGGGCTTCTCGTCCTGCGGGCAGGGGGCGCGCCCCCCCTCGCCCGCGGCGGCGGGCGCTGCTGCGCCTGCGCCCCCCCCTGGTGGGCCCGAGGCCGCCGCCTCTGCGCCACTGCCAGCAGCCGGGAGCTTCGCCGATGCTTGGGGACCGTCCGCGCCCGCGCCACCAGTTGCTTGCGCGCGGGCACGCCGGGTCGCGAGGTCGTCGAGAAAGGTTGCGAGCTCCGACACATTCGAGCACAGGTCGGGCGGCGCGGTACTGCCTGGAGGCACCCGCGCTGCGTGGACCCCCTGCAGGGTGGACAGGAGGTCGTCGTCCTTGGTGGCCGCCTGCATGGCGGCCTGCTTGGCCGCCTGGTCATGCTCAATTTGCTCTCGAGCGTCTGGATCTCCAGCTGCGCATTCTGCGTCTCTCCGACGAATTTGTGGTGCTTCTTGCTTGCCTCCAGGATGATATCCACGAGCTGCTCGAGCTCCGCTGACTGAGATTCGAACTTCTGGCGTTGGGTCTCGAGCTGATCCGACAATGGCTGGGCCTGCTGCGCGAGCGACTTGGATGCCAAGATCGATGCCTTGGCCTGCATGAGTTTGCCCAGCGCTGCGGTGTGCTCCTCGCCGTTGGGCTTCCATTTCTTCCAAAAACTGACCTGGGCTTGCGCCAGTGCCACTGGATCTTCTGCTTGGGGTTGCTCGTCGCCCTCAGCGACGGTTGCGCGACGTAGTCCTGGCGGATGGGGTGGCCCCCGTGAGCGATCTCGCCCTCGTCAACGGCCTGGCTTGTCACGCCGCCCTGGCGGGGAGGGGGGGGCCCTTGTGGCGGCGGGCCCGCGGGAGCCACTCTGAGACTCTTGCTGCTTTTGCTGCTGCTGCTGTTTGAACGGCTGCACATTGCAGGCACTGCTTAGAATTAGAAGAACACCATGCCCAGCCCTTGCAGCCGCGACGTGAACACATGGTGTACTTCCGCTGTTTGGCCATCGAGTCTCGCGAACCCTGCGGCTGGAAGACGCGCGCAAGACCTGGGGCTGAGACAGCGGGGGCGCGGTGCCGAAAAGGACGCGGGGGGTCTGCTCGAGCCCTCTCACCCAGGGCCTGCCCTGAGAGGCAATGCTGAGTCCTGCGCTCCAGCGGTGCGCACAGGACTTGAGCCGGGAAAGAGGAGGAGGAGGAGGAGGAGGAGGAGGAGGAGGAGGAGGAGGAGGACAGAAGCCGCTGCCCGATTCGGGGGCGCGGCCCGCCCGCCCGGCCCTCGACGCAGGGGCGGGGGGTCACGTAGCGGGCGACAGGCTAAACGCGGCGCCCACCGCGCCACGGCGGTCGAGACGCCCGCGACCAAGGCCAGGATGAACGAGTAGTTCACGGGTTCCACCTTGGTGTATTAGCCTCGAGACTACGACGCTCCAAGTCCACCAAAGCAGCCAACCGGCTAGGCTACGGAGCCCGGACATGGAGACGACCCGGAGCACGAAACATCGCCATCAACAGAGACCGTGATACCAACAAGGCGGAGCTCAGGACTGACATGGACATTGCCATACGGGCCCCCACAGAGACCGAAATTGCAACCACAACCCTTCCCACAGCGTCTCTGCCATGGCCTGGCCGCCCTGCTACTAGGCCACCGGTGCCAGAGCCACCGGCCCTACTGCTGCCTCCCCACATCCCTGCGTGCCTCTACCTGGCTTACTACGGTACGCCCCCCCACGACCATTTGCCCGACGACCCCGACGACGGCCCCCACGACCCCCTGCCCAACCCGAAGGCCCCCGCGACCCCCCACCCAACGGCCCCTACGACGGCAGCACCCCGAGTGGCCGCACGCCCTGAGAGGAGGCCCGTGGGGGGCATACCTAGGGAAGCTGCCATAGGGGCCGCTGGCCAGGCCAAAGCTGGCGCCGCCTGCCCCGCGGCGGGCTCGGCATCCCGAGTGGACGCATGCACCGAGAAGGAGCCCGCGGAGGGCATACTTGGGGAAGCGGCCATAGGGGCAGCCGGAGCCACCCCTCAGAGCACCCCACCCGACACGTCACCACGACGGCTCCCGCGACCCAGCACCACGACGGCCCTCCCACGACGTCCCCTGCGCACGCCCCCCGCGTCGGCCGCCACGCCCCCCACCCGACGACCACCGCGACGGCCGTGCCCCGAGCGGCCGCATGCCCTACGAGGGAGCCCGCAAGGGGCATACCCGGGGAAGCGGCCTAGCATGGGCGGCTGGCCAGCCCGCAGCATGCGTCGCCTGCCCCGCGGCGGACTCGGCATCCCGAGTGGCCACATGCCTTGAGGGGGAGCCCGCGGGGGGCATACCCAGGGAAGCAGCCATAGGGACAGCCGAAGCCACTCCCTCTGAGCCCCCTCACCGCCCGACCCATCACCGCGACGGCCCCCACGACCCACCACCCCGACGGCCTCCCACGACGGCTCCCGCGCACGTTTGCCCTAACCCATAGCGACGATCGCCACGACAACCCCTGTGACGGCCCCCACGACGACCCCCGCGACGGCTCCCACGCACCCCCGCCCGACGACCACCGCGACGGCCGTGCCCCGAGTGGCCGCATGCCCCAATAGGGAGCCCGCGAGGGGCACACCCAGGGAAGCGGCCACAGGGGCGGCGGCTGGCCCGCCCGCAGCCTGCATCGCTTGCCCCGCGGCGGGCTCGGCATCCCGACCTGAGAGGGAGCCCGCGGACGGTCTCCACGACGGCCCCGACGCCCCGCCCGACGCGCACCCCGCGCCCGACCCCCCGCTGGTACTGCCTTGGCTACGCGGACAGCGCTTCCCTCACAGAGCATTGGGCGGCCCACAGAACGGACTACCAGACCACCCACCCCACGACCCCGTTCCCCCGACCCCGCACCCGACGGCCTCCACGACGACCCCCTACTCAACCCGACCACTCCTGCGCCCCCCCCCACCCCACCCCACCCCAGGAACCCGTCGCCCAACTGGACGGCCCCAACGACCCCCCCCCCCCCCCTTGCGACGCCGGCGCCAACGACCGCCAAGGTGGGCGCGAGGATGCCCACGGCCGCCAGGAAGGACCCCGCGACAGCCTGCACGACGGCCCCAACGACGACCTCGCCGACGACCCCACGACGACCACGGACATCACGACAGCTCCGACGAAGGGGAGGCAGACGAAGCGGAGGAGGGCGCACCCGCCACGGGGCCCTGGGCAAGCGGAGACGCGCCGCACGCGCGCGCCACTCCTTTTGCGAGGGGCGGCCGCCACACCCGGCTGCGCAACGAGAGCCGGAGAGCGAGCAGCGCGGCTTCCAGCCGTACGTTTCAGCGCAGCGCCCAAGCTCTGGCTGCTTCCGCGGTGAGCACAGCGTCTACTACGCCCAGCAGCACTAGCGGCGACGTCTCCTCAGACGAGGCAAACGACGAGGAAGAAGACGAGGACGAGACCTCCGACGACGGCAGCTCCAGCGGAGATGAGCATCTCCCCCTTCCCCGCGCCCTCTCTCCCCACACCCTGCGACCCCTGTTCCCGACAGCCTCTGCCTGCGACGGCTCCCTCGACCCCCTGCCTTACCCGCGGCCCCCGCGACCCCCACGACGGCAGCGCCCCGAGTGACGGCGTGCCCTGAGAGGGACTGGGCGGCGCAAAAGACGGGACGAGGCGGCGAGCCGTTATTCTTGTAAATCTACGGCCGGAGGCTTGGGAACCATGAGCCATTCCCTCGCGGCCGCTTTCGCCCCACTCTCGGCA